CAAAGTTGAAATCAAACCTACGCCCTTGCTACTGCCCCACCCTGCAGAAAGCTGCCATGTTTGCAGCAATCTGATCTGATCTGAACCATTGCAGGCTGGAGGACAGACAGGATCAGCGGAGCTGTGAGCTGATCTGGAACAGAAAGTAATTTCTTCCCACCTGGAGCTCCGTCCGTCTGCGTCTGACGGCGGTTCCGATTAGTTTCTGATGTTTCCAGGCAGATAATCCGAACGAATCTGTCAGCAGAGGCACGGCTGCAGAGATCCTAACAGCTGACGGGACGTATCACTCCGTGAAATACAGCCGACAGATAATTCTGGAGTGGAGCTGAGTTCAGGTGTCTCCGTTTTTATTTAGTCTCCATCTACAAGGTTTGTTTTATAAAATTGTGTATCTTCAGTTTTTGTTCCAAGTTGTATTCTTTCTGGAATATTCTGCAGGATAATCAAATTTTTATCTGGGAAAAACAATCTAAGTCTTATATTATCAATAAATTGAGAACAGGGTTCTTCATTCAAGGCAGCGTTTTATTTCACCTTTGCAAAGGAGAATAGATACAGTCCTGCCAATGTTCCTGTTCTGGTCACACAGACTGAATAGAAAGTTTCTCACATAGTTAGTAAGATGCTAAGATCCTTTAGAGCCAAAGTTACTGAAACAAATATATATATATATATATATATATATATATATATATATATATATATTTTTTTTTTTTTTTTTTTTTTTTTTTTTTTCAGTAACTTTGGCTCTAAAGGATCTTAGCATCTTACTAAAACACTTCTAACTGGAAAACAGCTACTGAGGCGCCAATAAGGTAAGACCTGCATTCAGCCTTGTCAGGCAGGTGCTCTGTTGGAATATGTTTAAAATCAAGCAAGTCATTGTTAATAGAATTTTATGACAAGATACAGAAAAAATGTTAGAAAAGAACAACAAAGGATGAAACAGACACCCTGAAAATCCATTCCCTCAAACTGTTGTGATGGAAAAAAATATTCTACACTCTTATTCCTTTTAGGCCTCTAATTAATGTCCTTAATGTGAGCTTGTTTGGTTTCCTTCATTGTTCAAAAGTATTCACTCAAACAGAACACCTGCTTCACAAGGCTAGATGTGAGTCTTATCTCACTTTTACTTCAGAAGCTGTTTCACTATTAAATGTTTTGGTAAGAAAATAGACTCCTTTAGTTCAAGGTCATTTCAACAATCCTTCTGTTTTTGGAAAACTGTTTCGTTTATTTTGATTTAGCTGTGTGTGAAACAATGGCGGAAGAAGTACTCAACACTAGTACTAGAGTAAAAGTATTTATACTCATAGTCAAATCTTATTCAACTACAAGTAAAAGTTACTCAGTCAAACATCTACTCACTTTTGAAATACTTAAGTTCTCAAAAGTACAAAATAAATGTTCTAATATCAGAAAATTTCTATAATATTCAGGGTAAATTTAAAGAACTGTGTAACTTTCACAAACCACCTGATGTAAAACCACCTGCTTCAGATTCTACATCTCTAAAGAACTTCAGCGTAAAAATTCCTGGGAAAAAAAACAGCTATTTTTATTGCTATTTCTTATTTTGAAAAAACAAAAACAAGGGGTGTCTTCATTTCCCTCACATTTTCACTATGGAATAGAAGTTTAAGGTTGAATTTATTGCAAAGAAACTACAACTCATCCTATTGAACAACCTGGCAACATTTCACACCTTTATAAAATTTATAAACTACAAATAATATCTGCTCTGAGTTTCTCATATTTGTAGAACGTCATGGAAATCTCTAAAACAGTGGCGTTCAGTCCAGAGGGCTGATCTGCTATCTGCAATGTTAAATTGCATTTCAAGAAAGAAAAGCAGCAACAGCGGATTACTAAACTAAGCTGAGCCAAAAGGAACATTTAACTAGCAGTTTCCTAGAAATGTAGTGGAGGGAAAGTTATAAATACAACCCCAAAAAATTACTCAATAATATTTAAATAAAGATAATACAAAAAAAGTACTTAAGTACAGTACTCAAGTAAATGTACTTTGTTACTTTCCACCACTGCTCTGAAACCCTCCCTGGTTTTCTTTTGGTTCCAAGTATTAAGACAAATCCTTAGTCTTACCAAAATAGACAGAACTTGGGCAATCACTGCATCTGATCTCCCTCTGCAAGGGTTAATATGCTGCTTGAATGAAGACCACTGATCCAATATCTTGTTAAATGTGACTAGACTTAGACTACTTCTAATTTCGTTTTGTAAACACGGAGTAAAATCTTATTTTGTACAGCTTCCCTACAGTAAGTGAGCTGCAGCTTAGCAGGAAATGAGGATGTCCATTCCATAAAGTGCAACAGGGATCAAACGTGAACAGTGTGGGAGAAAAACATGGTGCAAAAACAAGTTGATATGGAATTTCAGAGCAATTAAAAACAAATATATATGCTGCAAATATGGGATGTTTGTTGTAAAAATGTTTGTTGATAACACACTACTTTAACCGCCAAAGAAAATCTGAAGCCACCTTCACACATGGCAGAAATAACAGATCTCTGGACCTTTAAGAACACCAAACATCGAGGTTTAGCTGTACTGAAGAACCTTAAAGCCATCCAACCAGGTCCACCTGCAGGACCTTCCCCTCCTGGGAGTGAAACGGGATTCTAATGCCACCAGTGCAGAGCTTATGTACCTATGGCAGCAGGGTGGTGAGAGTAGATATATTAAGAAAAGTGATGAAAAGACCTTTGGACGCCTCTTTTGTCCAAGAAATCAATAAAAGAGAGAAAGAAATAGTTCAAAAGGTACAAGAATGTAAGCAGGGGAGTACAGACACTTTATCTAATAAATCCCCTTCCTAACTGTTTTGATCATCTGATGGAGAGAAGCTGAGAGCCGCCATGAGCCATGGGAGAAACCAGCAACAGTAGAAACCTTTGGTGTCCAGCCACTCAGCATGACAGCAGTATTAAAATACAGAGGAGTGATACCTCCTAGCTATTTGCAGATCTTTTTCTGACCTGTAGTGACGTAACACAAACGACACTACCCCACGTAACGGGAACAAACCGCTGTGATTGGCTGAAAGCTGAGAGCCTGCTGCTCCATGAGGGCGGTGGCTATGCAGGTTGTCAAACAGGAAGAACATTTTATTTGAAAATCTGAAATCTTTCTAAGAAATCAGATACAAAAAGGATCAAAAGGCACAAAAACAATTTAACTGAACAGTGAAAGAAAACAACATAGTATGAATAAAAAGACGAGAAAGGAAGAAATAATGAGAGAACTTTCTGTTAATGGTTTGGCCTTTTTTGTTTGGTTACAACAATTTAAATGCTTTTTTAGAATAACTAAAAAAAATTATCTTTAAAAATATGCATTGATAAATAAAATAATCCTGAATAATTAAATAATAATTATGGTATTTTGATTCTTAATTCACTGTTAGATGGCAAACATTTATGCCTTAAAAAGTATGGCTGACTTATTGACAATCCTGATTTAAAAAACCTTCAAAACTACATTTAAAATTGCAAAAACAAATTCTAATGCCTCAGCGTGTGAAATCTAAGACACTGGAAGTTATGCAATATAAATAAAGCAGGAAGTCTTACAAAGGGGAAACTTCATCCACAATTTGGAAATGTATTCCTTTACTTTTCAGAATGTAAAGAGCATTTGGTTCTGATTTTGTTTAAAGAGAAATTGTCTTTAACAAACATTTTCCTCCCTCTCTGCATGGAAATTAGATTATATCCTTCAGATCAATATTAAGCACTTGGTGGGTATTGATACCCGCAGGCTGCCTGTCTGCAAATGGAAGTCAGCGTTGCTCATAAATGTGTTTATTTTTCTTTATCTTTAGAGTCCCTTCAGTTTATGATCCAAGATGGCTCTTTATGGTAACTTATTAGTCATCCTGCATTTAATCAGTAAAAACATATGAGTTTTAGTTCATGCTAATTAATTCTGATCAATAAATCATCATAAACTTTACCATCTATGGTGTAGAACAGACCAGAACAGTTTCTCTAACTAATCTGTAAAAATAATAATAATAACTTAAAAAATGTAGTTTATCAGGAAGAATCTGTTTTTATAAATCACATCATTATTATTATTATTATTATTTTTGCCCAGCCTATCATCATCTCTCGCCTTCTGTTCAACAGCATCTGTGTCTGAGTCTCTGCCCCCCCACCTCTCAGCAGATTATCCCTCTTCTGATGCCCCCAAACTGTCTTTGAAAGCTGATGGATTATCACATGTTTTACTACATGGTCAGAATTTGATTGTTCAGAATTGTGCTTAAATGTAAGGGCCCTGACAATAAATACCCTGATTATTGATTGTCGTTTATTTATGTATTTATTTTCGCAAAATTATGTAGAACAGGCTGAAGGTTGCTCCAGCCTGCTCTGCAGACCTAGAACCAGAACTAAACATGGAGAAGCAGCATTTAGTTCCTATGCTCCACTAATCTGGAACAAACTTCCAGAAAACTGTAAAACTGCGGAAAGCCTGAGTTCCTTTAAATCAAGACTAAAAACACATTTGTTTAGGATTGCCTTCGACTGTTCTAGTTAAACAGTTAAACTGAAACATCATTAGTTCATTTTTTTTTTCTTTAGTCCAACTGCTTTTAATGTTCTTTCTTGTTTCTGCATTTTATATTAATTATTATTTATTTTTTCTTCTACTTGCTCTGATTCCGTTTTATTTTCCTATATTTTAATCATGTAAAGCACTTTGCATTGTCTTTGTACTGAATCGTGCTATACAAATACATTTGCCTTGCCTAAATTAACCATGTATATATATATATATATATATATATATATATATATATATATATATATATATATATATATATATATTCTATTTAATAATAAATAGAATTTACCGCAAGATGAAAATAATAAAGGGATCATAAAGAAATCAGAACCGCTACAAAAAAGTTACTTTTTTAGCCGTAAAACGTAAATAGAATTACGTAATATACGTGCTACGTCACCACGGTAACCTCGAAGCGGAAGTTGACACGTGCGTTGAAGGAAGGAAACGCCGCCTCTCGTGTTTCGAGGCCGCGAGCTCTCTACAGGTTGATATTTCATCCCGGAGCGCGTGGGTCCGGTGGATAACCTGAAAACCAGTTTGAGTTCTGGTTCTATTCGAGGATAGAACGGGTTTGTTTGATCTGGATCAGAACGTTTCTCCTCACTGCTCCTCCTCTTCATCATGGCTGTGAGAGCCTCCTTCGAAAAGAACAACGAGGTCGGCTGCTTCGCCAAACTCACCAACACCTACTGCCTCGTGGCCATCGGTGGATCAGAGAACTTCTACAGGTGAGCTCACGTGTGCCGATCACGCGCCTCGGTCCTAAAAACTGGAAGACATTAGATCACAGCAGGCTCTGCCCTGGGTGCTGACTGCAAGGCAGCGGATAGGATCCTAAAGGTTCCACAGCCTCAATATAAACACCTGGAAAGTCCAACAGGAACTGAATAGACTCCTTTAACCAAACAGCAGCTGGTGAACTAACCACCTACAGGTTCTAATGGAGCATGAGGAGATCTGAGCAGAACCTGAGATCAAAGCAGAGCATTAGAACAGGATATTTAATGCAACATAATTGATCCAACAGTTTTTTTTATATCTGCTGCCATCATGTTTAGGGTGTGCCTGAATATATGTCATTCCAGAAAAACAGAGAAATGAAAAACAATCCATTACAAGTTTGAAGACGTTTCGCTTCCCATCAGTCTAGTGCATTGTTTTTAATTTATTTCTTTTTTTTTTGGAACACTGGTTATTTATATGAAGAACTTTTTGCTTTCTCTCTGAACTAAACTCATTAGCTGTAATAATCATTTATTGTTTCAGTAGTGCATGTATATCCATGCTCTCATGGAAGCAAATACAATAATCTAATTTATCATCCTGATAAAAAAAAACTGCCAGTTATTTAGTTTTTTTTTTCTTTTTTTTTTCTAAACATTAATTAAAACATCTCTAAAAAAACTGTCTCTGTGTCTGAACTCAGTCATGGTTCAGTCACTCTGAATCAGAAGCTCCTATTGGTCCAGGCAGCAGCCAATCAGAATGTGAGGATGCTGGTCGGACTAGAAAAGGGATAACCAATTAAAAATCATCAATCAGTAAAGGTCTGGGGACATTTTTAATTTAATCTGTTGCTTTAAACTCTGAAATATGTGGTTTTTATACATCCTTTGACTTTTAAAATTGAAAAAAATATATATAAAAAAGAAAATGTTTCCATTTTAAAATCTAATGTGTTTTTTTAAGTAGAAAACAACAATCTCTCAGTTTGGTATAGAGACAATTTCCTGATTCACATAATTAAAGACTTGAACTTATCGGTTGTTGTTTTGTATTTTTCTTTTTTCTGTCTTAATGTTGGCAGTGGGCTTTATGCTGCCCTGCAAGGCTTTAAACCTGGGTTTAACCGGAGACTAAGCCATTCTAAAGCACATATCAAGGAGCTCATTCTGAGCCTGGATCCATATTTATTGTTGATTCTGTTCATGGTGGAGAATCCTGCTTCACAGCAGCAGGTTGAGCCAAACATCCTCTAAATGTTCAGGGTCATCTTTGAGCACCATTTCACTTTTCTTTCACCAGTTCACCACAGTTCTTCCAGCAGTCCACACTTTCTCTGCTCTCTTTTTCTCATCGTCTTCTCCTTCTTTCCCATCGCCCGGCTTGCCACAGGTTTGCCTGCTGTGTCTAAAAGTAGCAGCAGCAGCAACCCAGACTGACAGCAGCTCATTGGCTGATTTGGATCACGTGCAGCCTGGTCCTGGAGCTCCGGAGGGCTTTACCGTATTAACAGGAGAAGCGGTGCAAGTGAAATTAGACACTGTCGTTGAACAACATCCAGTGATTTCTAAATGTTTTAAATCAGGTTGTGTCCGCATCCGTGACCTCTGATCTAGAGGAGGTTATTGAGCGGTGGATCAGCAGAATCGTTTATTGACTTGATTTATTGTTTTCATGTTGAGATCATAAAATATGTGACTGCATCAGCATCAAACCCTTTTTTTTCTCCATAATTGTTCCCACCAACCGACGGAGCCTCAGAGGTTCAGTCTCCATTCAAACATCAGGCAGTGCTGATAGCTTCAGCCTTTTCCGTTCCAATCTGAGGTGAAGCGTCTGTGTTTGCAGCGTGTTTGAAGGCGAGCTGTCAGAAACCATCCCGGTGGTCCACGCCTCCATCGCCGGCTGTCGGATCATCGGCAGGATGTGTGTCGGTGAGTGAAGCTCCTCCCTCTGCTTGTTATCATCCCCCTTATCTGCTAACAACCCCCCCACCTCTCAGGTAACCGCCACGGCCTCCTGGTTCCCAACAACACCACAGACCAGGAGCTGCAGCACATCAGGAACTCCCTGCCAGACGCCGTGAGGATCCAGAGAGTAGAGGAGAGGCTGTCTGCGCTCGGGAACGTCATCGCCTGCAACGACTACGTGGCTCTGGTTCACCCCGACCTCGACAGGGTGAGAATCTGCTGATGGAGCAAAACCTGATCTCCATAGATCCTTTATTGTAGCTGCAGGCAGCGGCGGTCTGAGGGAGGAGCAGCTGAACTCAGAGACATGGAGTGATGATCATCCTGATGCTTTAGCAGATGAATTTATCTCTTCGATATGAGGAATCGTTTCCGCTTTGTTTCCTCTCTCTCAGGAAACAGAGGAGATCCTGGCAGACACCCTGAAGGTGGAGGTTTTCCGTCAGACGGTGGCCGAGCAGGTTCTGGTCGGTTCCTACTGTGCCTTCAGTAACCAGGGAGGCCTGGTCCACCCGAAGACGTCCATCGAGGACCAGGACGAGCTGTCGTCTCTGCTGCAGGTTCCTCTGGTGGTGAGTCTCAGTCTGGCTGACCTCTGGACTCTGAGGAATCCAGAACTGCTTTAAAGCTCGTGGTTCTTGTCCAGGCTGGCACGGTGAACCGGGGCAGCGAGGTGATCGCCGGGGGGCTGGTGGTCAATGACTGGTGCGCGTTCTGTGGGCTGGACACGACCAGCACGGAGCTGTCGGTCATAGAGAGCGTGTTCCGGCTCAGCGAGACGGCGCAGGCCTCCGCAATCGCCACCAGCATGAGGGACTCCCTGATTGACAGGTGAGGGACGCTCACATCGGTCAGGACTCCTCATGGGGGAAAAACGTCTAAACCCAAAAAACAAAAGCCTGCAAAATATTCACACCCCTTCAGCCTTTACATATCAGGCTTGAATTAGATTCTTTGTGACAGAAAGACAAAGACTCCCGACTGAAGCATGACGATGCAAAGGCTCTGATTTTACAAAAGTTAAACTAAAGTTCAGATTATCTGATGGTCTGAAATAAAATCCTGATGCTGCTTCAGAAAATCAGAGAACAAGTGACATCATGAAGACCAAGGAACCCAGCAGACGGGTCAGAGAGTTCTGCTTCAGTTGAAAGCAGAGTTTGGTTCTAGAACCTCTGAAGCTTCAAACGTTCCAGATCTCTGATCAGTCCATCATCTGATGGATTTCGCAACACCCAGGCCAATACTTCCCCCTAGAAATAAAACAGTGGTGTTTTATTTACCTTAAACTGCTGGATCACTTTTCCTCATGGTTTGATGTTCTTGTTTCTCCTCAGCATGGCGTAGAAGCTGCTGTCTGTTTCCTGCCATGATGAAGCTCCGCCCCCTGAAGCACACGGACAGACGTTTCTCCAACACAAACCTGATCAGATCATCATGGCCGACGGGGCGGCAGAAGCTGCTCTCAGACAGGCGATCTATTGAAGCTCTTTGAGCTGAGAAGCGTTCAGAGAAATTAGTTTAGATTTCTGAGCTGCCGTTTGAACCTGGAACGTGTTTTAGTTTGTGACGCTTCGGACTGTTCTACCTGAATTAAATCAGGAAGGAAACGGTGTTGAATGTGTGTCTGAGCAGAGATGTTTTTGTCACCAGACTAATGGAACATGTATGTATCTGTAAAATAAAGCTGATTGCCATCTTTTTATCGGCTTGGGCCTCATTTTGGATTTTAATCAAATGTTTGAAGGAACTTCAAAAATATCCTGAAATCCTCCGATCTGTCCAGTCATGTTTGTGTACTGAAGTCTTCACTGAGCTGCAGAAATGGTGAAACTTAAATTTTGGAAGGAAAGTGGACTGAGAGTTAGCATCCAGAAGATTTTATCTTAAGATGTTAATCTAAAGTTAGAATCTCCTGATTCTGGATTATTGAATAATTGAATTAATTATTAAATTGAATAATTTCTTGAATATTAACCAGCAGCTACTTTGATGTTTAAGTAAAAGGAGATGGAATGGTTAACAAAATTGCAGACGCAGATGAAAAATGAGTTTGTTAGCCATGCGGAGCATTTTCAGCATAAATGGCAACAGATTATAAGTTTATACAAGTTAGCATTATAATGCAAGAAAGTTGAGAAAACGTAGTTTAAATGTTCTTCTGATTTCTCAGAGGACCATAACTCCCAGTTACAGCTTTAAATTAACATATTTTCTTATTGTACAGACGGAATCAGACTGCAGAGCTTCTTTATATCTTGAAATTTGGTTTCTGACAAAGAGTTTCATAAATAATTTTAAACAGAGCACAGAAGTAGATTAAAGATGAAACTGATTTACTGGATCTGCAAAGTGCAATTCTAGATCTAAAATGCAGCATATCCATATTTTTGATGATAATTGATGGAATTGAAATCTACTTCTAGGGATTATTTATCGATTTTAGCAGCGGAATAGGCTGTTATTTAATATTATTTTTATACATTGTTTTTGCGCCCTATATACAGGTGCTGGTCATAAAATTAGAATATCATGAAAAAGTAGATTGATTTCAGTAATTCCATTTAAAAAGTGAAACTTGTATATTATATTCATACATTACATACAAACTCATATATTTCAGATGTTTATTTTGTTTAATTTTGATGATTACAAATGACAACAAATGAAAATCTCAAATTCATCATATCAGAAAATTAGAATATTACTGAAGACCAATAAAAACAAAGGATTTATAGAAATGTTGGCCAACTGAAAAGTATGAACATGAAAAGTATGAGCATGTACAGCACTCAGTATTTAGTTGGGCCTCCTTTGGCCTGTATTACTGCAGCAATGCGGCGTGGCATGGAGTCGATCAGTCTGTGGCACTGCTCAGGTGTTATGATAGCCCAGGTTGCTCTAATAGTGGCTTTTAGCTCTTCTGAATTGTTGGGTCTGGTGTATTGCATCTTCTTCTTCACAATACCCCATAGATTTTCTATGGGGTTAAGGTCAGGAGAGTTTGCTGGCCAATTAAGAACAGGGATACCATGGTCCTTCAACCAGGTACTGGTAGCTTTGGCACTGTGTGCAGGTGCCAAGTCCTGTTGGAAAATGAAATCTGCATCTCCAAAAAGTTGGTCAGCTGCAGGAAGCATGAAGTGCTCTAAAACTTCCTGGTATGTGGCTGCGTTGACCCTGGACCTCAGAAAACACAATGGACCAACACCAGCAGATGACATGGCACCCCAAACCATCACTGACTGTGGAAACTTTACACTGGACTTCAAGCAACGTGGATGAAGTGCCTCTCTTCTTTTCCTCCAGACTCTGGGACCTTGATTTCCAAAGGAAATGCAAAATTTACTTTCATCAGAGAACATGACTTTGGACCACTCACCAGCAGTCCAGTCCTGTTTCTCTTTAGCCCAGGCAAGACGCTTCTGACGCTGTCTGTGGTTCAAGAGTGGCTTGACACAAGGAATGCGACAGCAGAAACCCATGTCTTTCATACGTCTGTGTGTGGTGGTTCTTGAAGCACTCACTCCAGCTGCAGTCCACTCTTTGTGAATCTCCCCCACATTTTTGAATGGGTTTTGTTTCACAATCCTCTCCAGGGTGCGGTTATCTCTCTTGCTTGTACACTTTTTTCGACCACATCTTTTCCTTCCCTTCGCCTCTCTATTAATGTGCTTGGACACTGAGCTCTGTGAACAGCCAGCCTCTTTAGCGATGACCTTTTGTGTCTTGCCCTCCTTGTGCAAGGTGTCGATGGTCGTCTTTTGGACAACTGTCAAGTCAGCAGTCTTCCCCATGATTGTGTAGCCTATAGAACTAGACTGAAAGACCATTTAAAGGCTTTTGCAGGTGGTTTGAGTTAATTAGCTGATTAGAGTGTGGCACCAGGGGCCATCAATTTTGAACCTTTTCACAATATTCTAATTTTCTGATATGATGAATTTGAGATTTTCATTTGTTGTCATTTGTAATCATCAAAATTAAACAAAATAAACATCTGAAATATATGAGTTTGTATGTAATGTATGAATATAATATACAAGTTTCCCTTTTTAAATGGAATTACTGAAATCAATCCACTTTTTCATGATATTCTAATTTTATGACCAGCACCTGTAAATAATGCACTAAAAGGCACCTCTCTAACTTCCTATTAATATAAACATCAAGTCAAATATCAGTTTATCAACAATAGGAAAGCATTCAATAAATATACTTTATGTTTGAGCTCATTTTTGGAAAATATAAAAACCAAATAAAAGCGTTCGGGTCGAGTAAATGTAGGTCCATCCCCCCCACCCTTAGTGGGGCGGGGGCACCAATTTTCATCACAAAGTTACAACCTTGCTGCCTCATGCAGAACACTGCAGCTAAAATAAACTTCTTTTTTTTTTCAACAGTGTCCTGTCTGGCAATGTGGCAATAAGAATAATTGTCTTGATGCCAAAAACAGCCCAACAGATTTTACCTTCACAAGTGTAGCAGTACGGCAATCACCATACTGCTCCACTTGTTTCATGCATATAAATTGCTTTATTACAACTATGCAGGGAGTTTTACAGTTTATATGGACACTGCTATGTAAATAGAGCAGAAAAACGGGAGAAGAAAAAGGAAAAAAAGAGAAAAGATGAAAGAAAGAGGAGATAGAAATAAAACATTTTATAAATAAACTCCAAGCTCAAAGGTTCAGGCTTACTTTGCCACCACTGCAGAGCTTGGTGGGTTTTGTTGAAGATCATGCAGTTTGATCAAAGAAAAACATGAAGGACAAACAGTGTGTAGGAACTACATGTTATGGAGACTTTAGTTCATTTTCTAATGAATGATTTGAAGATATGAATACAAGATGTACCAGTGTGGTTCCATCAGTGAAGCATCCCCATCCAATTATTATAGTGGAGTCTTTTATTCCACCAAGGAGCAGATTTAGGTCAGTCTGTCATCAAACAGCATCTTCATACAACAATCCAGGAGGAAATCAGCAATGATCTAGAATTTCAAGCATGGTGGATCACAGCAGGGGAGTTCAGCCCAGTTCAATTCCCACAGCCTCCGCTCTGGGTCCCTGAGCAAGACCCTTAACCCCACACTGCTTCCCGGGCGCTGCACAATGGCAGCCGACTGCTCCTCAAGGGGATGGGTTAAATGAAGAGTTAATTTCGTTGCTCTGTACTTGTGACAATGTAATGACAATAAAGGCTGAAAAAAGCACCACAAAGATATATTTGCTTAAAGATATAACCTCTGGTGAGAGAAACCTTATAAAAAAAATAGGAACCAATAGACTGAATAAATCAGTATCTGTGAGGTTCTGGTCCAAATGTTTAGACCCAGATAGACAGAAAAAGGGATGAACCATAATAAGCAAAATAAAAGTTTACATTTATAATGATTAAACCTTTTAATTGAAAAATTTCATTTTCTCCGAATAATTTCCTAATTAATCATATTTGTTGGCGTTTGGTTCCCCCTGCCAATAAAAAGTAGGAACTGCAGCTTTTTAAAAATGTATGACTAAAAACCCCTTTTTCATTCATTAACGCTTCCTGGTTAATTATATTTGTTGGCGTTTGGTGCCACCTGCTGACAAAAATTTGGAACTGCAGCTTTTAAAAAATGTCTAAGAACACTTCCAAACATTTAAAGACTCTTTTTATTCATTTAATCTAATATTTGTTGGCGTTTGGTGCCACCTGCCGACAAAAATCTGGAACTACAGCTTTTAAAAAAATGTATAACTAAGAACACCTCCAAACATTCGATTCCTAATATTTGTTGGCGTTTGGTGCCACCTGCCAACAAAAATGTGGAGCTGTAGATTTTTTTTATTAAATATATGCAACAAGAAAACATCCAAACATTTAAAGCCTTTTTATTCATTTAATTACTGGCAAACGCTCAGAGTCAGATCGCAAGAATGCATCTATGTACACAGAGTGAAAACAGCGCCACCTTGTGGAAATCTAAAGAAAAACACAGTGATACAGCTTGATTATATGACGCACACAGTTCCACACAAACATCTGGGTTAATGTTTTTGGTTTGGGGGAAAACGACAACAAAATCTAAAAACACGTTTTTCTAAGTTAAGAGGAAACAATAATTATGGCATAAAATCAGTTTACATTTCTATAAAAAAGTGAAAACATGCAGGGTTTGTAGTGCAGAACAAACGTTTCTATAAATTCCTGTTAAAGAAGGCAGACAGGGAGCAGGTACAAAAAGAGGAAGATCATTACATACATACAGTCTTTACTAAAAGAAAAAAGGGATAAAAAGACTCCTTTTACCGTTTGATTCATGTGCAAAATGCTCATTCAGTTCCTACATTAAATATATTTTTTGTTTAATGTTCAACTCTAATTTGTAGTGTTTCTACGGACCAGAAGGAGGCGCCACCCTCAAACTTTATTGCATCCTGACCTCTCTGGACCTGATAGGTTTCTCCTGAAGCATTCTGTCAGACTCTGGCGCCCTGAAGCTGTAAACTGCTCTGAACATCGTCGTTTTTAATCGGTTATATCACTAAGATCTACAACCACCCCGACTGGCCCTGAAAGCAGCACGAGGCTCCGATTTACGGCTTTAGAAGGCGGCGTGGCGAGCTGCGGTGTTCGGCTTCCAGCTGTGTGAAGCATGCACGGGGACATATTGCACATCGCTGCTGACGAGGGTCTCGGGGTTAATGGTTGAGCTTCATCATGACTTTAAAACTAAACTAAAAATAAAAAAACTCAGGAAGACAAACTGAAACGGTTGAAATGAGCCGACGCACCTGATGCATGCTTAGTGTTTGATACGAGAACCTACAGATCAATCTTTACATTTTCTAAACTCTAATGTGATTGGTCAGTTTGTGTTCCTTCAAAATAAGAGAACTGTTTGGGGAAAATAAAAGCAGAGCGCCCTCTGCTGGCGTCTGCAGCTTGTGTGTGAACTGAATAAACGAAAGAGTCTGAAGGTGGAGAGGGTCATGGTGGTTCCCAGTTAGACCTCTCCCTCCGTCAACCCATCATCATCCTCCTCTTCCTCCTCCCATCTAGCAGCCGAAGGTCTCCTGCGAGGCGTACACCATGTAGAGGAAGCCGTCCTCGTCCCTCTCCTGCTCGTAGATCTCAGAGATGGAAGTGGACACGGACACCATGCTATGCTGGTTGACCAGCAGGAAGAAGGCCTGGGTGGGGTTAAGCTGCAGCCGACGCCTGCGGACAGGAGGAAGAGGAGGTTAAAAAACAGCCGCTGATGACACCGTATATACGACTGATTCCTGATTAAAACTTCCAGCTGCTTCACAGTAAATAAGACTGAAATAAAAAGATTATTTGATAAGGAGCACCAGATGTTAAGGGACATCAAAACATTTTTGATTCAAGATAAAAAGAAATACTTTATATAAATATGTAGCACTAGAATTTTTTGTTAGATTACAAAGAGCAGTCATTTAAAACACAATAAATAAAAATAAAAAACTAGCACCAAACCTTGTCTATCTAAATGACAGGAACCTGTGGAACCATGTGTTTCGCAGGAGGATCAACCTAAATCGGACAACTCAAAGCCCAACCTGCATCTAGAGGTAAAATCCCTTGCAGGGAGTCAACAGGCAGACCGCTGGCTCCTGCTGGTGCTTTTTTAACAAGAAAGAAAGCACATTTTTATTGGTAATTAGCTCAGTGGGACTGAATTTCCCTCCATATTGGAATCAAATACAGGAGAAAAGTTTCTCCTCCTTCCTTTCAACACGTGTAGATAAGCTCAGATGTGAAGAGTAATTTAAGTTCACAGTTACTTTGGTCATTTTTTAAAGATAAAACAAAAAATGACTATCGATCAAAATATGTGCACAAGATAATTACATGTAAAAAGGTGAAAAATGTCGAGTGTGTGAGCCATGAATGAAGGTCTTACTGCTCCACATGGCTGTCAGCTCAAACCCTGATCTGTTTTCCTTTACCTCATGTCTTTCCTCTCTTTCTTAAGGCTGATTTATGCTCAGAAACCAGGTCGTCTGTCGCAGTGAACGCAGATATGCCCCCATCCCTTCCGCAGACACTCTGCTGCACCTCTCAATTATAGGTGACCGCAGACAGGAGGCCTCTGATTGGTCAAATCTACATCCGCTCTACTCTATGCGTATTTCCTGTTTGGTACCTTACTGGCTTGTTTTGTTTGTATGACCGCCATTGTGGAAAACAGCTCGTGAAGATAGAGCAGCTAGAAGAGCAAGATGCGGGAGAACGCTGGGACCCTTTTTCCACCTGGATCTCCGCTCGTCCTCGCCCTCATGTCCCTCCATTGTTGGACAAACTTGCCCTAATTTATTTCTAAAAAATAAGTTAATAAATGAATAGATATCAATCATCATTAGAATTGAAACGACCGTATCAGAAAGCTGAATCTGTGTCGTTCATCATATATTCAGAGAATCAGATCGGTGCATATCTAAAACAGTAAAGAATAAATAAATTATTCATGATATTAGAGCCTATTCCAAAGAGCTCCAACAATCAGCTCAGCTCGTCAGAATTTTCCTTTCAGTCTTTATTTAAAAGCTTTGTACATGGTTCCTTATATCGATTAAGGAAATGAATCTAACGCTCATGAGAACCAGGCCTCAGCTGATTAATGATGTCTTTACTTCATGGTTTCTGAGCATCAGGACAGCAGAAGTCTGCAGACTCCATGTATTCTGGACCAGATGGATGCGATAGTTTCCCCGTTTACCTGATGATCTTCACCAGCTCGCTCATGTTGACGTGATCAGGAACCAGGAACTTGGTCTTGTCCAGAACTGGGAGCTGTTTCTCTCCCTTATACCGCTCGATGATCACCTGCAGACAGCGAACAGAAGCAACAGGAAGTCAAACATCACCTCCCGACGATAGGAAGCTAGACACTTCAACACTTCCATTAAACATACATCTATAGTAACAAGGTCAATAAAAGCATCTGGTCTGAATAACAGAAGAATTTGCCTTTTAATGATCAAACCTGTAACCAAGGAAACAGCCTCTTAGCTTTTATTTTGTGAAAAGTGAGGCCATTATAGATAACAGGAGTTAATGACCTACATGGTGGCGTCAGAAATAAACATCAACTGAGCTGCAGCTTCAGGTTTATGAAGAATTATTTAGGACAGCAACATTGAGGAGGGCCAATGTTTCTGACATCATTAACAGAAACGCTAAAAATGATCGGATCCCATTTCCTGTTGGCCACAGGCTCACCATCCGACTGCTCGTCACCATTAGTCAGATTAGTCACTAAGAAGATGCAAAGATGCTTAATGGGCTTTTTTCCCTTTTCATCTAGAACATTTGAGGCATCTGGGTTATTTTAATCCACTAAATTAGCGTCTCTGATGTGGACCAGTCCAAACGAGGTTCTGTTAGGACGGCCTGAACTGTTACACTGGAAACTCCTCTGCAGCTTTTTTGTCATTTTTATGCATTTGGACTTAAATTAGGAAGTTTTAATGTTTTTAAACTCCTCCTAACAGATACCTTTGTACCATCAGATCTTATTGATCGTTTCTAAAGGACGTAAATGAAAAAGCTGCTAGAGCAGCGGATCCTCTCAGCAGATTTCAAACTTAAGGGAACCTTTGAGCTAAATCAGCTGCTTCATCATTTATTAGCTTAAGGTTTTATTTATTGTTTTCCTTTTTCTGTTTTCTCTCTTAATGGGAGCTGCAGAAAACCAGAAGCCTCCAGTGATCAGTCATGCGATTAGAATTTAAAGGAACAGTCAGATTGAGATTTTTAGCAGCCCAGCCTGATAAAACGGATCCAAATGTCTCTGATTGTCCCTTTAAGGAGCTGACAGAAGATCTGTTCTAATCATCTCAGGTCTGGAAGCACCAACATTAAACATGACCCTGGTTTTATCTAAACTCAGAATCCCTACAGTTTCCTTCAGAAAGTCATTCATTTTTCCAAACTGTGGTTCAGGTTGAGTCCATCTTTGTGTTTTAAGGTCAGCATCATGCGGTGTGTCTGAGAACTTACAGGAATCTTGTTGGGATGCTGCTCCCGGATCTGCTGCACCTCTTTGCACCGATCAGCTGCGGACAGAAAGAAGGAGGAGTCAAAGCTGAGTGACGATCCCGAACGCTCCGGTTTCTACCATCAGATCCGCGGTTCATGATATTAAACACCTCAGGAAGAAGTTAAACTCGGGATCCTAACCCGTCCCATCAAAGCTGCAGAGATCTCCATCATCTCTCCTACTGCCTTATACCTTCGGCTGCAGTCCAGCTCAAACTATGGGGGTTTAACAATCATAGATTATCATCCTGCTTGTTAGAGAAGTTTTTCTGCAAAAAGAAAGCTGAATCCAAGTTCAGGATGGAGCAGATCGAGTCAGACGTCATAAAGCAGGAAACCATCCTGAGCTCCATGTCAGACCTTTGTAAGGAGCAAGAATATCAGCTAATTAATGGGTTATAGATGCAGGGATCACCATGGTAACGAACATAACCTCTTATAGAGTTTGAGTTTAAGCTAAATCCACCACAGAAAGGCTCCTGTGAGTCGCGTTTCCTGTGCTGCTCCTAAATGAACCCGCCTGTCAGCAGCGATGATCACATGAAATCTATCTGTCACCCCGTCTGGTTACACAACACACCAAAAACCTTGATGACCCGTTTCTAGCAGGTTTCCATAAAAAACATCAGGCCGGGTTCAAAGGTTAGAGCGCTGCGGACAAACACAGAATCTGGATGAACCTGGAGGAAAAACATTGAGTCATTCTGGAAATTCTTCTTTCTCACATCAAACCTCTGAAGTCTTTCCGTGGATCTGATGCATTTCCTACTTTAAGATGCATCAAACAGAACTAAAGGTAAACCAAGGGTTCATGAGTCTAGAAATGTAACTCCTCTGGTTCCAAGTGCTCCAAATAATGCTCTAACACTCCTTAATTTTCCGAGAACCCAGAAGCACCCAGATAGTCCATATAGCCACGTTCCAAATGATTCAAATCTCTTCTATCACAACTATACACACACAATACCTGATTATTCTAATGTGAAAAGAAAGTATCTTCAGATTAGGGGTGTCCCAAAAAAAGGTTTTATTTCTGATACGATACCATAATTGCAGCTTTGAGTATTGATTGATACAGACATTGACCAGATATAATATCGGAATTAATCATACATACTTTAATTAGGTATTTTATAGCATGAAATGGTAGAAATGTTTGATTAGTTGATTTCTCTCAGGGATAAAATGATCAGATATGAGAAAAAAATGACCAATTTCTTATTGAACAAATATTAACATGAACTATAAACAAAAGTAGATAGAAGAAAAGCGTTTCTATATGCTTTATAATATGGGAGACTTTAGAAGCTGATATGTCTCGATATTAATCTTTGGGCTGATATAAGATTGATTTCTGATATCAATATAAGTTCAGGTCAGCCTTACTTCAGACCAGAAGCACCTCATCTCCAGGCCAATACCATCCCTACAGAGAAGAATGGTAGTGGCAGCATCATGTTATGGGATATTTTTTCAGAAGACTAGTTTGGATCAAAGGGCAGATGAATATAGTGATGAGAGAGGCCTGCTGCAGAGCTCTGACCTCAGACAGCCAAGATCTCAAAGGATTGGATCAGAACCACGCTGTGGATGTCCTGGAGTGTCTGAGGCAGAGTCCAAGCTGAATCTGATCAAACAACTAGAGAAATCTGTCTCCCATCCAACCTGATGGAGCCTGAGATTCTGCTAAACAGGAAGAGAGGTGAGCTAAGCTGGAGCATCAGATACATCAGGAATAAACATGATTCAAAGGTTTATGTAAATGTCTCTTATTTTTTTACTACTGCTGATAAATTTTCCAAATTTTTCATAACAGAATATGGAGAGCAGAAGTACTAAATGTGGAAAAAGAGAAGCGCGGAGAAAACTTTTATGGATGGACTGAAAGTCGCCGGTCTGATCCGAAAACACGTAGAACCAAGATCCTCTGTTAGCACCAATCACTCTCCACATTGGGTTCTTCCATGGTTCTACAGAAACATTGGTTCAGTTCTCTTTCTAAAGATGCTGAACCAAAGTTTTAATCTGGTTCAGAGGACACTTTGGTAGACGGGAAGATTAAGGCAGACTACCCTGGTTCTGTGGTTATAAAAAAATCCCACATCACTAACCCTCCACCACCGTGTTTAATGCTTGAACTGAAGCATTTTTGCTGATAGGTTTCCTCCAAACATGGAGATTTGCCTCGTGGTCCAACATCCCTTCTGTGGTCTAATCTGTCCAGAGAAAAAAAACAATCCAAAATATAATAAAATAATAATAGTAATCCAGGTGGAATTAAATTATTCAAATAAAATGGAAAAAATTTAAATAATGTTGGGATCAAACAGGAAAAGACAAAAAAAACCCCATCAAACTGGGACAAAAAAGGCATAAAGATCAGGATAAAAGCAGGTTTCAGAGTTTTCCTGGACTGAGCCGAGGTTCTTATATGATCAGGTTACAGTTATAAAACTGCTGTTTACACTGAAGATGTCCATTTCATTCATGCAGTTATCCAGCCTCTCCTGGCTGCTGTTCATCTGTCCAACTAAAGACCCAATAAGATGTTTATTTATAGGCCAGCATGTAAATAAACTGACTGTACTTTGGACCTGAACCTGGATCAGTTCTGCCAGCTTTATGTTTCTCTCTGCTGATAAAAAGCAGTTTTCTGCTGTTTCACGCTTTAATGATGCAGCAGTGATCCTCTCCAAACCTTCACCTCATGGAGGAGGAGATGGGAGCTGGAAGCTCCCCTGCAGCTCTTCAGTTCTTCCTGTTTTCCTCTGAATCAGAACCATTATGCAATGATGACAGTCTGGGCTCCTCCCAGTCTAAACTGGGCCCCTCTGCCAGCCTCCCATTACAGCATAAATCAGAGGACAGGAGTGCTGGGATAATGTGTCAGCACATGATGTTTTTCCTTCCAGGAAGCACAGAGCAGAACCAGCTCAGAGGGGATCCACTGGGCTAATGCTGGTACTGATGAGGCCCTGGGGTCCCTCTGACACAGATAGCCTGACCCACAATAAACCACAACAGCACCGTAACAAAAACACACAACCATCAACTATTTACATTAAAATCAGTCTGGTTATTATTATTATTATTATAAATGGTGTTATTATTATGACCCCTGGGGGCCCAGCTCAGCCTGGAGCCTCTAGCGGTCCCAGCGACACATCACACCGGCCTACAGGCACCGACAGCCGGACTCCAGGCTGCCGACAGGCCGCTTTCTTACCGAAGGTCCTCCGCTGTTTGAAGGGTCTGTCTGACGGCATGTCTGCAGCTGGTGTGTCCGAAGGAAGGCGACAAAGTTCGGTGTGTTGTTTTCTCTTAGGTCCGTCTGAAGCTAAACAGCAGCAGCAGCTCCGGACAAACAAAGCCTGTAAAGCTGTGAGGTCATCAGAGGCTCTTAAAGGGGCCGCACACCCATTACCCTGCTGGGTATCAGTGAGAGGAACAGCAGCTCATCGAAAAAATTGGATCATTAGAACCAGTTCCTTAAAATGAATCGTTCACCAAATCATTTAGTTCACACAACTACAGTTTTGTGGGCTGTCAATATAGAAGATTAAAATAAAGTAGAAAGAAATATTTATGGTGGAGTAAATGTTTCTTTAAAAATTTTGCTTTAAAATACAAAGTACAAGGATTAGGGCCACTGAGAAAAAAAAAGTTAACTGATTTTTACATTTTATTTCAGTTTAATATGGGAAAAAGTCAGAATTCTGACTTCAATCTCAGAATTCTGACTTTTTTCTCAGAATTCTGACTTCAATCTCAGAATTTGGGTTCTTAATGTGGATGGGCACCATGATGGTAGAGATGTGGAGCACTCAGCTTCACTGACAAAGATGTGAGTTGTTTGAGAGGGCCAGTGACACATTGGTGGAAAATGACGGAATTAGGCAACTTTTTACGTTAATGAGGGGTCCCATCATTAATAGAGTAGCAGAAGGTCATTAAAACAAGACAGCTAGTCTCTAAAACAGACATGTCTATGGCTTGATGCTATCATGTTTGTTAGCTGTCAGAATTCTGAGAAAAAAGTCAGAATTCTGAGAAAAAAGTCAGAGTTCTGAGAATAAAGTCAGAATTCTGAGATTAAAGTTAGAATTCAGAGAAAAAGTCAGAATTCTGACTTTTTTCCTATGTTAAACTGAAATAAAAATTAAAAATCAGTTAACTTTTTTTTTTTTCCAGTGGCCCTAATCCTCTTCCGTACTAATCGTCTTCCGTATCTTCCGTAACGAAGGACAAATAGACCAATTTGAAAAAGAGGAGAAGGAAATGAAAGGGCAGGTAAAAATCCTTTGGGTAAAGAAACAGAAAAGTTAGAGGCAGAAATAAATGACTGTTTAAGAAATAGAAGGTTGGATAAGAAAAAAAATATTTTTTATGGTGCAGTAAAATCATGCTTTAAAAATGTTGCGTTAAAAATAAGAAGTAGAAATACATGTGGAAAAAGGGGAGAAGGAAATAGTTAGAAAAGTTAGAGGCAGAAATAAGTAATTGTTTCAGAAATACAAGGATGTTAAAACAAAATGAAAAGGAATATTTATGGTGAAGTAAAAACATGCTTTAAAAAAATGTTGTGGCCTATATCATTATGAGACAAAAATAAAAACATCTTTTAAAAATGTTGGTGTGAATAAACATGAAAAAATAAAAAAAGGTTGCAGTGGAAATATGGAACAAAAAAACCCACTTGCAATAAATACACAAAGACAAAACAAAGACTTCAATAAAATGTATAACAGAAAAGAAGTGGGTTAAAAATAAGTCAGCATAAAAGCAAGAAGAATAGAAAAAATAAAAGTGTAAGTTAAAGTATATATTTTTTGATTAATAATCAACAATTGTTGAAGAAAGATCTTCTTTTTATTATTTTGTCACATTTAATGGCACACAAATTCATATTATTAGCTACTTTTTCAAGCAATTTTATATTATTAAGTCCTTAATTTATTTCTGCATGTATTTTTAATTATGACAGGATCGGTCATCCATTGGCTGGTTCCATTATACCTAGCAAATGGGTTATAATACTCTACTCAAGTCCTTGGTCTAATTAATTCTAAATTTAACCACACATATTTGTTATTTCCTCTACCCAAATAGTGCGTCAAATAATAAAAATTCTCGGTTACTCTAACTTATATCCTCTACACAAATGCTGGGTCAAACTAACCAAAGTTCTTGCTTGTTTCACCACCTACATACATTTGTTTAGTGCATTTTTGAATTCTTGGTCAAATTGTTCGAGACACCTCTGATTAATTCTAACATATAACGGTACAATCGTTAGAAAAATAAATTGCAATAGAATACCCATATCTATAAAACTGTTCAACTAAATATCAATAACAAATCACATGCTTGAAACGTCTTAATGCCCACAATACAAAAAGGAAGCAATTAAGTTAATTATGGAACAATTCAAAGTAGTGTCATTAAAAATACACAACATTGTTTACAATTTGTTCCTTTCCCGGCATCTGAACATAGGACTAAGCAGTGGCGGCTGGCCAATAGAGCAATAGAGGGCACTAGGGGGCCGCCCCACCCACCCAATGACCTTTATTATAAAAACATAGAACAAAAAATTTATACACTTAGAGTATTTTTACTTTTCATATCTGCCGTGATAGCTGACATTATTTGTTCACTTTATTCACTTACTAACTCTGCCCAGTTCTAAATCATTCCTCGTCTTATTCACCTGCGTCTGTTGCTTGTTGCTTTATATTTGGCTCAGACCAGCTATTATCAGGGAAAGATCATTGTTTGTTATGAGTTTTTGTCTTTTATCCTAAAGTTTTTGCAGTTATCCTGGTTCCATGTCCTGTCTCTGTCTCTCAACCACTACGCCTGCCTGTCTGCATCTGTGCAAGTCTGCCTGAGCTCTGTCTGTCCCTGTTTGGATCAGAACCCCTGACCTGGCTGCGGACTCCTGGATGTGTATATATATATATACACCCCTTGCTCTCCCTAAGGCTCCCTTGAACAGCAGAGCTGTCCTATCACCTCCTGGTATTGAGCTGGATAGGCTGGAAGAGGAGGAGGCTGGAGGCTTGGTGTTGGTTAATGCTGTTGAGTTATTGAGTCGATACAATCAACTGGTTGTGCTTAGATAGAAAACTTTAAATCAATTGTACTGTATGATGTGGTTGAATTGTCTATGTAAAGTGCCTTGAGATAAGATGTGTTGTGAATTGGCAGTATATAAATAAACTGAATTGAATTGAATTTGACAAACTTGGCTGGCCCAAGTGAGGGTCTCAGTCAGGGACGTGTTCTACTCCCACCTCCAGTAGAGCTTCTCCCAGATTCCAGGACAGGCTGAAGATAGGCTGTCTGAGTGGAACATATCCTCTACCCCCATGGTCAATGCGGCCTGTATCGGTCGCGCCGTTTGGTCTGTGGTGTCTGTCGTGGCAACAACCCTTGAATCTGGTGGTGGAAACTGGCAGTAAGGGATGCCATCAATTCAAAGAAGGAGTCTTATTTAGCCTGGCTGACATGTTCAACTCCTGAAGCATCAAGTAGGTATCATGAGGCCAGGTGCCTTGCCGCACAGGTGGTCACTAAGACATTTTTTAGTGAGAGTGAGGGGCTGCCGACCCTGGAAGAGAACATCGTCGGATGGTGGAAAGAATACATTAAAGGAATAGTACACCCAAAACATGATTAGCCTTCATTTTCTACTCACCTCCATGCTGAACAACACTCTGGAGTACTTTTTTGATATCTCAAATGCATCTGGAGATCTGGGAGGCTTCTTGCTGTCTGCTGACATTCAAATAATGGAGGTCCATGGCGCCCGAGACAGAAAGGTCCATAAAAGTCCACAAAAACGTGTCAATATTCCTCCATACTGCTCGTCCAATGTAATCCAAGTGTCCTGAGTGGGTAGCATCCAGAATTTACTCGAAACGAAGTCATTTAGAATGTTTTTAGAGCATAAACAGTAGTGTATAGGATTTCCTAATAGCGCCCCCATGCGCGCTCACGATTCTACGGAAGCCGGCAGACCAAACCGGAAGAAAGTGCGCATTCAGCGTCTGGTCTGCCGATAATGCAAGCGTAGAAGAAGAAATGTGCTGTTTACCTGTGCAAAGAAAGAAACAACGAAAGAAAAATGTCTGAGGACTTCAGTGTTGAGGAAGAGCATGAGTTCTTTGCCGAGCTGAATGCGCTGGTTTGGTCTGCCGGCTTCCGTAGAATCGTGAGCGCGCATGGGGGCGCTATTAGGAAATCCTATACACTACTGTTTATGCTCTAAAAACATTCTAAATGACTTCGTTTCGAGTAAATTCTGGATGCTACCCACTCAGGACACTTGGATTACATTGGACGAGCAGTATGGAGGAATATTGACACGTTTTTGTGGACTTTTATGGACCTTTCTGTCTCGGGCGCCATGGACCTCCATTATTTGAATGTCAGCAGACAGCAAGAAGCCTCCCAGATCTCCAGATGCATTTGAGATATCAAAAAAGTACTCCAGAGTGTTGTTCAGCATGGAGGTGAGTAGAAAATGAAGGCTAATCATGTTTTGGGTGTACTATTCCTTTAATGGTCTTCTTAATCCATCTGACTCCTTCTAGATGGAGTGCCCATGGCTGAATTTATTTATCACTCAGGCTTAGGTCACCAAGGTGGCAAGGCTTCGGGGGTGGATAAGATCTGCCTTGAGTGTCTTGGATCTCTAGATATTGTCAGACTTTTTGTGGCTGACACACCTCTTCAACATTATGTGGAGGTTGGGACAGTGTCTGTGGACTTGCAGACTGGGGTTGTGGTTCCCCTACATTAGAAGGGGGACCAGAGGGTGTGTTCCAAGTATAGAGGGATCACACCTTTTAGCCTCCCCGGGAATACCCATGCCAGGGTGCTGGAGAGGAGAGTCAACCTGATTCTCAAACCTCGGCTTTAGGAGGAGAAATATGTTTTTTGTCCTGACCGTGGAACAGTGAAACAGCTCTACGCTCTCTGCAGGGTTCCGGAGGTTACTTAAGAGTTTGCCAAACTAGTCAATAGGTGTTTTGTGGACTAGAGGAATGCATTAAATAGAATGCATATATAATGTAGGATATAAATATCTGGCTGGCTTGCCAAATATGGAAGCAGTTGTACTGCGTTATGTAGTCCTGTTTCTGACCTTATGCTCACTTAGCAACGCAGAGAATGCACCATGTAAACAGGGCGTCTACAGGCTGGGAGTCACATACAAATCTTGGCAAAAACAGGGTTCTTACTGGCTGACTCGCACGCAATCAGGTCATAAGCTAAGAGATTTCCAGGAAGAGTGTCCAGTCGTGCACGTGCATCCACACAGCGTGATGTGGAAACTATAAATGCCGCCTGAGATGGACTGAAGGTTGGGGGATAACAGAATTGTGACAATGCAGTGCTGAATGTATAAAGTGTTTTAGGACAGCTGTATGAATTCGGTTTGTAATTAAATGTGTCCCCCCTCTGGGTGATAAAATGGTGTGAATCGTGGCCTTCTTTCTGTCATAAGGGAATTCTACCAATGAGCTTCCATACTGTGTCCCTCATTGCGCCCTGGAGTAAGGAGTTAGGGGGCCCTTTACTAGAGGATATCCGGTCTCTAGATAAGTGGAGCAGGAGTTTGGTCCGCATTGTCTGCATCACATCAGAGTTGTTCCCAGTGTATGTTGGACTCCTACAGGACTGCCCTCGGTCACCGGTCATGTTCATAACCTTTATGGACAGGATTTCCAGGCACATCCAAGGGCTGGAGGTGGTCTGGTTTGCTGACCAGTGGATCTCGTCGCTGCTTTTTGCAGATGATGTGGTTCTGCTTGCTTCCTCCAGCAAAGACCTGCAGCATGCACTGGGGTGGGTTGCAGCTGAGTGTGAAGAAGCCAGGATGAGATCCATCCATCCTCCAAGTCTGAGGCCATGGTTTTCGACCAGATAAAGGTTGCCTGTCCTTTTGAGGTTGGAGAAGAGAGTAGTTCAAGTCTGTTGGTGTCCTGTTCATAAGTTAGGGGAGGATTAACCGGGAGGTTGATAGATTGATTGGTGTGGCTGCTGCTATAAAGCAAACTGTGCAGCGGTCTGTTGTAGTGAAGAGAGGGCTAAGTGAAAAGGCAAATCTCTTGATTTATACAGTCAGTCTATATTCCTACCCTCACCCATGGTCACAATATCTGGATCATGACCAAAAGAAGGAGATCCTGAATACAAGTGGCCAAAATTAGCTTTCTAGGCAGGATGGGTGGGTAAAAGTGCAAATATCGAATTTTTTACGCCTTGATTCAACAAAGCACAAAGTATGGTTATGATTTATATTTTGCATCTGTTTCCATACAGGCAAACCTTGGAGGTTCTTGTTTAATGTATTTTTTGTAGATGTAACTTCTGTTATTCTCATGATTTTCTTTTTAACACATTTGTAACACTAAAAGATAAACTACCTATATAAAATGCTCGATCATGGTCATTTTTTTTAAATAAGGGTCAATATCTCCAACAACATATTATTCAAGCCCATCTTTCTTTTACAGCCACTCTCAAACCGTCTGTAGAACATGCAATCTGATCATTATATTGGGTGGAACCAAATCGGTTGGTGCATCTTACTATATGTGTAGCAATCTTTGTTGTTCACAAACAACATACCTGCTTATTGCATGTACTCCAATCTAAATTGCACATGCAATATAGCACCCCCTTATTCTTTATATTTGATGATAAGGCCCATAAAGACATGTAACCTGTACAGTTGTTTTCCACTTATTATCTAGCTGCAGCTGTAAAAACCTGTGGCTTAATTTGATATCTAACGACACATTTGAGCTTCCACTCACTGAGACGCGATCAACAAGTTCTGCTGGATTGACCCGATGACAGATTACTTCTTATTTTGTAATAGTTGAGGGATGAAAAATAGTAAATGAAACAAAAGCATCTCATTGGAACCACATTTAGCTCCAAATACTAAGGGAGGGAAAGAGAACTTTGTGGAGGTCAGCTGATAATTCCTGAATGAATATCTTGGGGGAAAAATGTGTCAGGGCTGAACGACTGCAGCACTGAGGACAGATTTTGGTACTCTTTATCAGAGGTTATGTTCTGATCTGTGCAGAGAAAATATAAACCTGTTAATCATTGACTTTTATAGCTGATAAAGGTTGTGTTTTGGTCAAGGGAATTAAACACACCTTAGTTGGAACCAGTGACGTGCGGTCAGGGGAGGCAGGTGAGGCAGTGCCTCACCAGCCATCATGGAAAGAAAGAAAATATATAATCATAAAGTAATTTAAATTGTTATATTCATCCGGTGGTTTGTACTAAAAAATATTCATTTTTCATGTAGCTTCACCAATTTCGATTTTTATTTGTTCAAAATCGCTGAATTTTCTTATTTTCCCATTCAAATGCTTGGAAGCGATGCCGGTGAGGCAGCAGCGAGCTCTGCCTCACCTTGGATTGCGCAACCCCTGGCTCTGCGCTGGCTGCAAAGCGGAGAGAGCATGTTGCTGTACGGCGTCAATAAAATGGTTTAAACAAATGTAATATGTGAACTTATTTCTAATAATTTGGCTTATGTATATAATGTACAGAGCTTTTTGTCACCAACTGTGTTTGTGTAACGTGTTTCGTGTAATGAGCGATTATAAACGGCAGAGAACAAGTTCGAGGTGAGGCAGGCAGTTCTCTTGCCTCATGGCAGGGGGTGCTCAAGAGACTGAAAACATAAGGCAGGAACAGGACGGATCAAGGAAGGCTTTCTTCCCTGGCAGTGATCTCCATTGAGACAGAGAGACTTTTAAAACTGAAGGAAGATAAGGAGGACTTCTATTCATTTATAAGTAAAGGTAAGACAGTAATAACATTTATTTTGTTTTGTTTTTTAAGGAAATGTGTGTTTTGTGAGCTACAGTTTGTATGTGTAAGGATGCAGAAGTGAAACATAACCTGTAAACTGCTGTCAATCTATGCATCTATTTGCAAATCTGATTCTGATGACGTCAGTGCCTCACCAGCTATGAACCTCACCGCACGTCACTGGTTGGAACTGAACCAAAGCAGGAAGCAGTTTATGATTGTTGGTTCCTGCAGAGAGACTCCCAGACGATCAGATTCACCTTCAGACCAAACTAGCAGCTTCCTCTGAGTGAGTCCAGCTGCAGGAGAGAAAAGTGGAAACCTCCAACACTGCTGCTTCAAGCTGCTCACACTCCACACACTGAAGGTGAGTTGGACCAAGAACACCACTCAGAGTCACTTTGAGGGAAGTTAGTAGAGGAGGGAGGGGAGCCATGACTGACTGGACCTTCTGTGTTTTCAGCTTCACTCAGAGACTAAATGGCTTCCAGGTTAGAGGAGGATCTCTGCTGTCCGGTCTGTCAGGACGTCTTTAAGGATCCAGTTCTTCTGTCATGTAGCCACAGCTTCTGCAAGAAGTGTCTGAAGAACTGCTGGAGAGTAAGAACTGGACGCTCATGTCCTGTTTGTAGGAAAATATCCACAACAGATGATCCTCCAATAAGTCTAACTCTGAAGAACCTGTGTGAGATCTTCTCACGGGAGAGAGAGCAGGAAGCTTCAGAGGATCTCTGCAGTCTGCACTCTGAGAAACTCAAGCTCTTCTGTCTGGACCATCAGCAGCCAGTGTGTCTCGTCTGCAGAGATTCAAAAATCCACAGAAGTCACAGCTTTGCTTCCATAGATGAAGCTGCAGAGTATCACAGAATTAGCCTTTATGTATCTCAAGTAACATTAAAAAAGAAGCTGAAGCTTAGGAAGAAAGTTCAGGAGGAGTTTGATCAGACAGCAGAACACATGAAGGTCCAGGCCCGACACACAGAGAGGCTGATTAAGGAGCAGTTTAAGAAGCTTCATCAGTTTCTAGCAGAGGAAGAGGAGGCCAGGCTGGCTGCACTGAGGGAGGAAGAGGAGCAGAAGAGAGGGATGATGAAGGAGAAGATGGAGGCTCTGAGCAGAGAGATAGCAGCTCTTTCAGACACAGTCAGAGCCACAGAGGAGGAGCTGAGAGCTGAAGACGTCTCATTCCTGCACAACTACAAGGCTGCAGTGGAAAGAGTCCAGCGCTGCCCCCTGCTGGAGGATCCACAGCTGCCCTCAGGAGCTCTGATAGACCAGGCCAAACATCTGGGCAACCTGGCCTTCAACATCTGGAGCAACATGAAGAACATGGTGTCCTACACTCCTCTCATCCTGGACCCAAACACTTCTCATCTAGATCTCATCCTGTCTGAAGATCTGACCAGTGGGACTGGAGGAAAGAAACAGAAGGTTCCTGATAATCCAGAGAGGTTTGATTTGTCCTGTTCTGTCCTGAGTTCTGAGGGCTTTAACTCAGGGAACCACAGCTGGGATGTTGATGTTGGAGACAGTGAGCATTGGGCACTTGCTGTGTTATCAGAGTCTGTTCAGAGGAAGGGAGCTGTAGATTCGGGATGGTTGGTTTTAGGGTTTGATGAGGGTAAATACTCAGCAGAGTCTCCAGCAGCCCATTCCACAGATATCTCAGTCCAGAAGAAGCTCCAGAGGATCAGAGTGAATCTGGACTGGGACAGAGGAAAGCTGTCCTTCTCTGATCTGGACACTAACACACACATACACACCTTCACACACACCTTCACTGACAAGATGTTTCCATGGTTCTCTACTCTGGATAAAATAAAAATCTTACCCATGAAGATCTCAGTGAGCAAACCGCAGCTCTGATGTTCTCAGCATGAAGAACACAAAGTCCAAATGAAACCTCATTGATCTGATTGAAACTCAGTCTTTGAAACAGGAAACTGGAGATGATCTGATCTGATCTGACTGATCATCTGGTTGTTTTCAGGTCAGTTTCAGATCTGCTTCATAATCTGTCCAGATGCTTCAAACTAAGACATGAAGTGGATGATATGGAGTTTAGTTTGGTTCTGACAGCAGATCCAGGTGTGCTGATCATGAACAGGGAACAGGTGAGGTTAGTGGAGACATCAGGACCCTGGAGAGCTCTGCTGATGGAAACAAACTGAGATCCAAACATCCAGACTGATGAATGCTGCAGAAGAAACTCTCAATAGATCTGGAGTTGGATGAAACCATTTAGTTTCTTCTGTGTTTCTGGATTCATGTGGTCAGTGGGGATTTGGTCTGGAGGAGGAACTAGAACATTGATCTGGAGAATCCAAACCTTGATGATGGACTGTTTGACTCTTAGAAAGTGTTAGAAAGTGATTCATAATCCTCAGGAAGTGTTTCAGTCTGACCTCATCCCTTTTTTATTCAGTGTTTTATTGTCATTACACTGTCACAAGTACAGAGCAACAAAATAACCTCTCTGCATTTGAGTCATCCCTTTGGGGAGCAGTGAGCTGCCATTGTGGGGAACCCAGGGAGCAGTGTGGGGTTAAGGGTCTTGCTCAGAGACCCAGAGTGGCAGTTCGTGGGAGTGGGGCTCAAACTCAGAACCTCAGGTTTCAAAGCCATATGTCCTAACCACTAGGCCGCCACTCCCTAGAATTTTTTTTTTTTCACAACACCATGTAGACCAGGGGTCACAAACCATTTCAAGGCTGAGGACTACTTCATGGCTGTCGAATCATAGGATGGGCTACCAATACTGACCTATGAAGAAGAGGGGTCAGCGTTCACCTAAACTTCATCCAAATTAAACACATTTTTATTGTTAACTTTTAATTTCTAGTTTTCCTTTAAACATTATAATTTTAAAATCTCTATAAATGCTAAAATGCCCTATATGATTACTATGATGAAATGCTCTATAAATGATTAAAAAAAGAGTCACAGAATAAAATAAAATTTAAAACTTAGCCCACTGCTGAGTTGCTGTTTTCAGAAGGCACTGAGGGCACCCAATGTGGTCCTTGAGGGCCCCTTTGTGCCTGCGGGCACCGCGTTGGCGACCCCTGATGTAGACTTTCTCGCTGATGGATTTAGTTCTTATTCAATAAAATGTTTATGAGGTTAGAATGACTTTGTTCAAAGAGGGAAATTGTTTTTCATGCTGCTATAAGTTGGCTTGGAAAATAAACAGTCAAATGTGTCTCTGTGACTGGAAGAACTGGGAAAACTGGAAACCACAGATTATATGTCCTCCATCAAACTTTTCTCTTCTTTCTCCAGGAAGTTCTGGTTATATTCTCAGTCCATTTGGAGGTAGGCCCTGAAAAGTGTTGAGCCTCACTACTATGAGAAGGTGGATGGACTGTTAAACACAGATTAGAAAAGAATGACGTCTGGTAAAGTAGTGTTTTTAAACTATAAGCTGATAAACTCTCAGGACACTGCCAAAGAGGAGCTCCTTAGAGCATCTGGGATCCACCAGAGGTTCTCCTTTAAAAGAATATTTATCCTCTATAAAATCTGTGGAAACATGTCTCAGCAAGGTACCATATTCTTCAAATTCTGACCAAAGGTTGAGTACAGCCTGCTCTAAACAACCAAATAGCTCAGAACAGGTTATGTGCACTGTCTCTCTCTCTTTGAGTTCTTAAAGAAAGGCCAGAAAGCAGATCTACCACAGACTGATTACAATCAGCCTTCCTCTCCTCCAGAGCCAAGAACTAACTAGAACCCTCTATAGCTGGTGGAGATTTCCTCTGGAAAATGTTGCTATCCCTCCTCATCAGGCTATCCACTCTCAGACGTACTGAAGCCGCCTGATCACGGAAATCTCCTAATCTTCCTGATAACCAAGATACTTTTACGTAAAGCAGTGACAGGAAAATGTCTCCAGATAAACAATTTGGGGTTTGATTTGTTTGTTTCAGGTGTTTTTATTGTGTTTAAAAAAAGATTGAAGATTAAGCTAATCATTTTAGTAATATTTTATATCGTAATTTTATTAGCTTCATAAATTTATGAGAAAATGTCATTTTAATAAGAGTTTAAACAGTTATATGACATTATTATTGTGTGTGAACATATGAACAACGAGTCATAGCCATTAGCTTCCAAAAACGAAGTACAGCAAATTATTGTTTTATTTATTTCTTGGATTTGCATTGTGAATTGGTTGAAGAAAATACTAATGGTTTTAAATGATCTAAAAACTTGATTTAACATAATAAAAAATAAAAATAAAAAAGCTTTCATATGTGGATGCACTGTATATACAGTATATAATCCATGCATCTTTTTATTCCTTTGGCACATTCTTCTTCTTTGACTATTGGAGCCGATGTAACGAGTAAATTTCTCCACTGTGAGATCAATAAAGTTAGTGAAATAAATAAACTTAGGATCTTAATCTATTTTATTGATATCAATATTGCATAATTTTATGGTGGTGGTTTTTCAACCATTTTCATCTTTTCTACTATGTGGTCATATAAGATATTTAACTGAATTTCAATACCTGAGAGTTTTAACTTGAGAGTTTTAACTGATATATGTGAAACCTGTGGTTGATTTTTTTTGTCAATAAATTCCTATAATTTGAATGTAACTTTTTCTGAATTTATTATTTATGTATGCTGTCTTTTACCAGGATCTTGAACCAGTCATGTATGATTTTAAAGAACAACGTTTGACAGTCTGTTTTATTTCTTTGTTTTAAGTACTTAGTATTCCGACATCAAAGAATGAGCAGTTATCAATAAAATATTGTAATGAGGAATTCCGGTGAGTTTGCTTCTGTTTTGTTGCTCTCTTAGTTCAGTTTTATGAGATTTTTTTTTGTATGCAATCTTTAATATTTAGAATATATTGAAATAATTCTTAAAAAAAACAATAGACACAAACAGACCACCTTTAGGTGCTAGTGCCCTGTTGCAGATTATACAGCAGACATATTTAATTGTGCAATAACTGTTGTGTGTATAGGGCACTTTTTTAATTTACTCTGTTTGCTATATCACTTTAAATTCAGCAAAGTTTTAAATGAGTTTTTCCTTGCGAATGAATTATGTTAAGGTTTATTTGGACAAATTGCTTTCTTTTCTAAAAGCAGGGGCCTAAAATAAAACCCTGAATTATGCTTACATTTTGAAATCTAGTTGTTGAAAATATTTTTTTTTATATATTTAAAGTGTTAACGGTTTGACTATGAGTTGAGCTTGAATCACATTTTTGTAGCAAACAGCCAGTTGGCCTGAAAGTTGTTTGATTAAATAGTAAAAAAAAAACTAAATGCATGCAAATGCACATGTATTATGCTGTCCTGTGGCTTGGCGTCCAATACAACAAGAATCAAAAATATGTATTTTAAAAATAGCTAAAATACAACAGGTAAATATAATTCCATAACTACAATACAGCACTGAATACCTGAAAAACTTGCTGACAGTAATAGGTCAATACGGAACAGAGGTTAAAGATATAGGTCTGAAATGAGATGATTATCGTTTAACCTCATCACCACCTTTCAGTCGGCGGAGAACAACAGCAGCCTTCCACAGATCTGGACTGATGCTAGTTTGCAAAGAGAGATTAAAGATATGAGAGACTGGTTCAGTTATAATATTTGCTGCTAAACCAGTTCTAGAGGATGGTGGTTTCCTTTCACATCTTCACCACTAGATGTCAGTATTCCTCCACAGCTCCTGTGAGGTTTTAATGTAGGCTCAACCCTGGTCCTTCCAGCCCACTGTCCTGCATATTGGAGGCGTTTCCCAGCTCCCACATAGCTCACCTAAATCCATGGACGGTTAAACAGCTTCTGTTGGCCTTGGTGGAAGCTGAGGAGGTTTAGTAATCATCTGAAGAACCACTGTCTCAGAGTGGATGATGGATGAGGGAACCAATCTTTCCACCAAAGGTCGGCTCATCCAGTATCAGAGATCAACAGGGACATAAACATGTCTGTTGAATCTTGATGGATAACTGTCCACCAAACTCCAGCGGCAGTCAATTTTCTGCAAACCACATATAAAGATGGAACCTCAGTCTTTTAAAACAGGTTCAACTTAAAACACACATTACAGTAATTTGGAAAATTCACAGAAATCCTGGGATGATGTTCTGAAGTGTCTGATTTAGCTTCAGGAATGAAGCTGTTGATGTAAATACGTGCCTATTTAAACAAGTATAGTCTAAATATGTCTTTAATATGTGGATTTATCTTGTATTTTTTTATGATATAGGATTGTGCAGAGGTAAATAGAGGTAAAACCCACTCTAATCTCTTATTACGTCCGGCCTTCGGAGATTCTGCCTCGCCTCTGGCCTCACGGCTGCCTCCAGAGACTTTGCTTGGTCTCTGTTTTTGGTTTCTGCTTCATGCCCTCCTTCCTGGTCCCCCATCCGCCAACCCTGGGTGCGTTGTTTTTGTTTTTTGACTTCTTAGGGCATCTGGGATCCACCCTTAAGTGGGGGGGTAATGTCATGGTTTATGTTCTGTTTAAGTTTTGTCTTTGAGTTTTCATTGGTTTTTCTTTTTTTTTTTTTTGTTATTCTAGTTATTTTTATTGTCTGATAAACCCGGCCTTTGATCAGATTCAAGGGGCTAAGGTTTCCACCAATCTTGATCTCCATAAAGCATACACTTGGTGCGCATCCTGTAAGGTGGTGATGCCTTTTGGTCTCACCAATGCACCAGCAGTTTTTCAAAACCTTGTGAACAATGTACTCAGGGACATGGTGGGACACTTTGTCTTTATGTACATAGACGATATTTTCATTTATTATCGGAACTTGGAGTCCCACAAGCAACACATCAGATCAGTACACCTTCGCCTACCAGTTGTTGGTGAAGGCTGAGAAGTTTGAGTTTCAATGTGGACACAATCTCTTTCTGGGTTTTATGGTCTCCCCTGACCGGATCTCCATGGACCCCATGAAGGTCCATGTAATCACAGACTGGCCGGTTCCCAGGGATAAGAAGCAACTCCAGAGGTACCTGGGGTTTGATTGGTTAAAATCTCACCTGGATGTTCAGCTGCAGTTAGCTTTTATCTAATGGTTGACTTTATTATGACAGTTGAGGTTTACTGTTGAACGGAAAACATTTATAGTTAGTTTCTGTTTTCCATTTTAATGTTCATGATTTTTTTATGATTTGTTACCCAGTAATAAACAGACATTGATAAATAAAAAAACATATTTTCAGTTTATTTTTTCATGAACTGTTCATTTTTATTCCTTTAACTAAGCATAATAAAATAAAAAGACATTTGGTTGATATTTTATATTTTGATTTTGAGAGACAAGTTCTGAACAGAAACATAAATGAATGAATAATTTCATGGACCACAGGTTCTGATTCCTGAACCAGAACAAACAGCAGATCTTTCCTCCACTGAATAAATGTTTCCATGATCAGATTCTGCTGCTGCAATGACACCTGGGTTTATTTTAAGGGTTTTTAGCAACTTCAGCAGGAGGCCAGTCAGGATGAAGGGCAGAGTGGACTCCTCTGGACCAAACAGCTTCCATCCAATCAGAGCCTTAATAACTTTGGACCAGAACCAGAAAATCAACTGGTCTGACCTGTGTGTCATTAGACAGAAATGAGGAAAAAGAAAATTTGATAGGAAATAAGAAACTGAGAATCTGAAGTCATGTTCAGATTCTGTGGGAAGTTACTCACCAATGATTATAGTAAAACGGGTCAGGTTCTGGGATGAAACGGGTCAGGTTCTGGGATGAAACGGGTCAGGTTTTGTGATTAAACGGGTCAGGTTCTGGGATGAAATTAATCAGTCTGATACAGATCCTCAGCTGCAAAGAAACCAGAACTTCATGTTTCAGCTGCTCCTTTCAGTCAGAACTTTGATGAAGATCCGATTGATTATTAAAACCCAAACTGGGCGGTTCCTGAAGCTCACAGCCTGAAAGTTAGAATAAGATCCATATTTCTGTTACTGTTTGCCTGAACATCAACATTTAGTTTCCTTCTAAGAAGACAGATGTTCCATGGCTCCAGGTGGTCTGGATCAGCGGTTCTCTAGAAAACTCAACAGACTTTGTTTCTCTTTGGACTCTGGTTCTGTACTGAGGGGCCATGATGTGTGAACAGAACTCTCTGAATCAGGAGATCCAGGTTTAATTAAGACATTTAAGCGTTTTAAAAGCCAAAAATGGAGAACATCTGTTTATTGACTTATTATACTTTATAAACTTCATTACATTAATTTTAGCCATCTATACTTTACAAGAGTACATTTTAGACAACTGTTTACCTCTCCTTACATTTTCAGCAATTTTCTCTATTTTCTACTTCTTAAATTTTAAAAATAGACTCATACGTTTTGTTTAATTTAAGCAAATATTCGTTATGGTCAGTTAAAGAATATAAAAACCATCAAAATAATTTGCCTTATCCAGATGATTCATTTCTTTGTGGTTGGACGCTGTGCTGCACCAACTGGTTGTTCGCCACATATCAAAATAATTCTTCAAGATTATGTAAAGTTAAATTTGACACTGTTACCATTAGTTTTAAAAAAATTAAGTATGAGGAAGTTTTCACAGGGAAAATGTTCATGTAATAAGAGTAACCTGAGTAAGAGCGCAGTGACCTGTATCAGGTTTTAAACACCCTTCCTAAAAACATCCCTGCATTACTTTCACTTTTTTATTCAAATAATTTTAAAGATTTTTTGTTATTGAGTAAAAGGTTCACGTTTCTAAACAGTCAGATTTACACTTCTTGACACCTCTGTCAATCAGTGCTGCAGGAGGACCAACCAGCTGCCCTCGGGCTTCATTTCTAGAAGCAGGACATTTTCAGACGATCCGATGACTTCACTGGTTTATCGTCAGGAGTGACACAAGCTTCGTAATACTAATTAAACTTTATTGATCTCACATTGGAGAAAGTCACAATGTGTGGCACCTGGGGAGCAGTGTGGGATTAAGGGTCTTGCTCAGAGGCAGTGGGGATCAAACCAGGTACTGATCTTTCTCCACGTTTATAAAGATTTTATCCCAGTTTTTGTCCTCAGTCGATGCCATTTTTTCCATTTGCTTGCACTCAGGCCTTTCTCCCAACTGATCCTGGGTTTATCTTCAGTCTTTCCAAGTTTTGGGTTCTCCTTATTTTATTCAATATTTTGCCAGATCTCAGTTTGTTTTCACTCCAATTTTATTGTTTTTCAGAGCAGGATGCTCAGAGAATTGACCAAAAAAAACCAAAAGTTACACCTCAGGATCCGTTATCAGAAAATGTTGAATTCATGTGAACTGGTCAGAACTGACCATTGACTTAAAGGCAGGTTTGAATCCTGTTGTCTAAGTGACTCCACCCCCCCGGCCAATCAGTGACCAGAAGTCCTCTGATGTAACATTTTCAGTTGGACCAGCGTGGTTGGAACCAGGGCCCAGGAGACGCTGAATAAGGAGCTGGTACCGAGTGCCTTTGCCTATTGGAAACCAGCTAAGTAGGTAACGATGGATCAAGGTGTGTTTCAAGTGACTCCCAGCTACACCTCAGAAGATCAATGAGGGGTAGGGATCTTCAACTGAGTCTGTTGGTATCAAGGTCCAAATTGAAGAGTGTGACCCCACCCTGCTCTGAAGAGGACAGGAAATTGGGAAAATAAAAAATGAAATGTCTTCTGGAGAAAAGCTTTAAGGTCTGTTGAGAATCAAATGTTTTGGAGGAGTCAGGGAGAAGATTTCAACGCTAAGTAGATGGAACAAACTGTCAGGCACAGTGGTGGCAGCATAATTCTGTGGGACGTTTAAAAAAAAACAATTTAAAAGAATCAGAATAAATGAAAGAACAATTAAATTAATCATTTGTGTTTTTTATTTTGTTGAAAACATCAAACAGAGAAATTGGTTCAAACTTCAGTTGTGTCTAAACAGGCAAGAATGTCTTCTTTTTGTGCAAATTAATGAAATAAAGACAGAAATAAAACAGCAGAGAATCAGGAAAGCTAAGAGACCAGATGGTCATGAACGCTCAAACTGAGAAGGAGCAATCTCTGCTGAACCATCTGATCATCTCACAGCCGAGACAGATTCTGTTACCTTTACATCAAAAAACAAAAACAATAGGAACTTTTAGCAAAGCAAACAGGAATTTTTATGAATAAATGTATAAATACAATTAGGAGTAAAGAGACGATCAGCAGATGTTTCAGGCCGAAGGGTTCTGGATGACGATCAGAAAGTAGTCCTTATCTGTAGAGAAAAAAAGGGGCAGAACCCAGAGATTAAAAGCAGAACACAGACATCCTGAGCTGCTCTGAGGCTGGAAATCATCTCTGATTCCAACATGAAAACAAAAAAAGAGGTTAAACCATGAACCTTCATAATGTTTTGAAGCACCTCTGCAGGAAAAGGCCCATTTGGACCGCACTAACTCTTAACAGGACATGCTGTGTTCAGAATCCACAGCTTTGTTCTGATTAGGGAGAATAGGGGGATATCTCTTTACCTGGAGCGATCATGATCTCGTTCTTCTTGGTGCGGATCCGCAGGAACGTGAGGTCGTCCTGCTGGTCCAGGTCTCTCACGGTGACCCGGGCCTTCATCACCAGCTGGTGGGTCAGAGCGGAGTACTGCAGCGTGCTCTGGTCGTCCATGGTCGATTTGATGGGAATTCCTGGAGAAAATGACAGAAAGGGTCCGGATCATAACAGCCAGCAATGCATCATGGGAACCACTTTAAGTCTTAAGCTACGTTCACACTACAGGTTAAAAGGCTTGGTTCCGATTGTTTGCCAGGTCTGCTGCTTTTGTGTGGCTGTTCGCATGAACGTCTCAAATTGTGACCCGCATGCGCAAAAGAACAATTACAAAAAGTGTCCAAAGTCAGTGTCAATGGATGGATTTAAGCAGTTAAGCAGTGGAAGTAGCCGGATGATACGGCAGACAGTGTGAAAAAGGAGAAAGAGAGCTGAACTATTAATTACAGCTTTTGGAGGAGCAGTGGCTGCAACAATGGCTCAATCAAAGGTTGTTATAATTGCCTCCGCCAAGGAGGTTTTGCTTTCAGTCGAGTTCTTTTCTATCTTGTTCTATTGACAGCTTCAGCATCAGACTCAAAATAGTCAATAAACACAGGAAAGGTGAGCCACACATCGCTTAAAGTCTCAATCTGCTGATAAAACGAGAAATCTGTGGGAATGAAGAAGGTAAGAGCAGAACAAACACCAGAGGCTGCAGACACGCTGGGCTTTATTTATCAACTTATTGAAGGATTTTAAGGAAACTGTTGCCAAAAAGTGTCCCTCATAACAAGGAACAATTATTAGGATTTAGTAATGATCCAGATCATGCGTGAGTTTTAGCTATAAGTCATAATATGGGGCAAAATTTGCTGCTTGGCAGAGGTCTGTGCTCTTTAAGTGCTTTTTATAGTTTATAAATAAATTAATTATTGGAAGATAAAAATGAAATAGCAAATTTAAATTAGCTCAAAAATTTATGATTTTGTGCTTGTCTATTTCTCTTGTATTTCCCTTTCTTTGAAACAATCTGGATTACAGAAGGTTTTACTCCACTGCATCGGCCTCCACTCAAACCTCTCATCTCTTCCTTAGCATAGGAAGTGTAGCATGAGAGCCTCGTCACTGAGGAATAGTGAGGCGGAGAAAAGCTGGTTGAGATTTGGAAAAACAGACATTAAACTGGTTTCAAAGCTGGTAATGAAAACATGCTTTGGGTTCAAACCGAATTACAATAATATAAGTAATTTCAATAACTTCTGGGAAGAAAATGTGTTATTGTGTCAGACCTAGCTATAAGAGAAATAAGCTGAGATCCACTGGTGGCATGTGTCAAAGTTCAGATCTCTGAGCACAGTAAGGTTAAAACGTTTGGGGAAGAACAGAAATCAAAAGGTTCCTTCTAAGATCAAATGCTGGATGTTCTAGTATATCCAACCTGCACCCTTTCTGTTCATTTACACACAGATTTACCTTCAGAATTGACGATGATGATTCCCTGAACTCCTTTCTGACTCTGGATCCTCTTCAGAGTTTCTTCGACCTCAGCCTGAAAAGCAACAAACAGTAACTGGTTTGACTTTGGTATTCTGCCCTCAGTTTTTATTTTAAACAAAACAAAAATCTCAGCAACACGAACCCCTCCTTTTTAAATAAATACAACAGGAGGAGCATGAAAGCAGTATAAATTAATATAACTTTACTATAACAGTAAATATAGATTAGCTCTGTGCTTTCAGTGTCTGTGAAGAGGCGAGAAAATGACACCATTATTAGAACAGCAACAAAAACAGTGATAGAACTGCGACTAATATTGATCTGATGCCAACATAAGTACGATATCGAATAAAACTACAAATATGTGAAGTTAGAACGAAAATGGTAATAATAACATAATATTATTCAACTGTCTATTTAAACATGTTCTGAACTAAGACAACGCCCGGCTAGCTTCTCTGTGCTAGCCATAGTTAGCATCCTGTTAAACCTTCGAATACATTCTCACACAGCAAGCTATAAACAATTCCTTTACAAAATGAATACAGTAAATTGTACAAATTTACCATTTTTACGTTTACTGGGAAAGTATTGTGTCGAAAAAAATCTGATATTCCGATATAAATCTGATATTTAGCGTTTGGCCCTGCTATGTATTTAAGTTGTCAGGAGCAACGGAAGAAAAACGTTACAACAAATTACTACTTCCGGGCCATTATGGTGCGTTCAGGTTCTAGGAAAAAAGTTAGAATCAGCCTGTGTTTTATTGAAAATACCCCCCCCCCCCCAACTAATTTTCAAATATAAATATTAAAAAGACGACTAAAACAAAAAAGGAAGAATTAAAAACAAAAACCAGCTGTCGTGGTTCCGTTTGACAGATTGTCTTTTTAGTTTTTTTTTAATATATATATATATATAAATTTTATTTATGAATTTAAATATAAACATACAAGGCATACAATAAATTCACACTTGTGATTTTTTTTAACATGGATTGAGCATGTTCAACATAAAAAAAAGTATGAAACTAATCCAACAGATTATCTTTTCAGTTGCGTCAATGTTCGTTGCTTTTGTTTAGAAAATAGTATGAATTTTCTGTGCTTAGAATTGTGCAGCAGTTGGTTAATTTCACTCCGAGACAGTGTTCTGTCTGCAAAGTGTCTAACATTAATACAATCCTTTCACATAAAAATCTTTGCTTCGTCCTCAAATTATGTTCTGTCTCATATTGTGTCTGTTAGGATATTAAATCATCCAAAACAATAACTGCTGGAAGCATCTGAACGGCACATCGGACGTGGGTCTGGAGGGGGCGTGGCTTCAGTGGGGCTCGGAACTCGCCAGGACACCGGGTGTCAGTCAGTCTGTGGACCAGAAACAGCGAGAGGACGCTGACCGCGCTACAGCACAGAGTCCTTTGGAGAGCGGCAGGAGTTCGGTTTGTTCTCCGCGGTGGGATGGAATTTGACAGAATGGATGAAAACGATTGGAAATACCACGGAGAAGGAAACAAGAGCTTGGTGGTCTCCCATGTTCAGGTGAATAAGCTAAGCTAACGGTACTAAAGTTCGCATCTGATTCGCAGCGTTTTTTGAGGGCGATCTCTGATTTTTTTTTAAGGAACCTTAATCTGAAGTACACCAGAACCCGGAACCCGTTTTCTTGGTTAAGCTTGCACAAAATGTAGCTTTTTAACGGTGAATACAGATAACTTTAAAAAAGTTAATGACCACAAATTCTTATTTACTTTTTGAAAACTGTAAAAATGTTTATTTCTGAGTCAACTGGACCACCTTAAATCTTAGACCCTAACAACTTTGACAGGTCTGAGTTTTTATGTTAATTAAAACAGTTATTTTGTGAAACTTTAAATGACAATTTTCCTAATGTTTCCACGTCTAATTGGCATAAATTACTTCAAGTTTAAATTATCTGCAAAAGTGTATAAGAATAAACAGAGTGCATTTATGCTTAACTCTGTTTACATGAGTTAAATTCGAATTTTTGTTCAAATGACACTGAAACATTTACTACAAAATTTATTACAGCTAAATGAAAAATGAGCCCAGATTTAGTGGAAGGTACATTTATAGAAGACTGAATTATTTGAAATTAATTAAAAAAGTTATCTTTCAACTTGTTTAGCCTCATCTTAGTCCAGTCTCTGTATTTGTAGCTGTTCTTATTTAACTGTGGAAAACATTGTCACAAAACCATGGGGGCTCTAGACAGGCATCACCAGGGGGGCGGTTCCCCTGTAGAACCGGTCTTGGCCCTTGTATGGCACCTATACTAAAAACAGA